TTGATGTAATGGAAAAATGATTGAATATTAATAAAATTTGTAACTAATGCCGTTTAACTTAAAAAAAAATAAAAAAAAATAAAATAAAATTACAAATATTGTTTAATTTATTTATAACAATAGTATTGTTAACATAAAAATTTAACAAGTCAATTACTTGAATTTATCTTATATTATGTAATAATATAAATTAATCATGAAATTTATTATTTCAAAAAAGTTACAATTGATATAGCAATTATATATAAGTATAATATATTAAGATTATGTAATAAAACAAATGTTTAATAACAAGATATAATGAATAGATAAAAAAGTTATATTATATATTTTTAGTTTTTTATTTTTTTATTTTGTAAATTTTTTTTTTTAAAAAAAAAATATTATTATTTTATTAAATTATAAAAGTTTTAAAATACTTTATATAAATAAAATAATAATATTTTTTATATAATTAATTAATTGATAAGTTTAATACCAATTTGCTTACAAAAATTATTTAAGTAATAAAAAAGAAATATTAAAATCAATATATATTAAAAAATCTATTTATAATTATATAAAATAAATATAAATATAAAAAAAATAAATGTAAATAAAAAAAAATAACAAAAAAATTAATTATAATATAAATGATATCTAATATTACTTTGATAATTTTATTTATTTGAAGTATGATAGTATTTTTTAAAATAATTAGATTATAGCTCAAGATATATAATAGTATTAATAATATATCTTTTTAATAGTTATTATTTGAACCATTGTTAGTTATTATTATTATTATTATATTAATATAATTAATAGTTAAAATATAATATTTGATTTATTTGCTAAGAATATAATTTTTTTATCTTATTGTTATTAAAATAAGTTTTGTTTATATTAATTGTTATATAATATTTTAATTATACAGAGTTGTTTTGATGTTTAATATTATTTAATTAATTAAGTTTTAAATAATAATTAATTAAGTTTTAAATAATAATTAATTAATAAAAGTAAATTGATTTTAATTTTTTATTTTTTATGATATAGCAAAATATGTTAAGTTATAATAAAAGGTAAATATTGAATATATTACTGGTTCTTCAAATTAATAATATAAATAATTTTAATATAAAATTTAATTTTTTGAGTTAAAGAAAGGTTTTTTAAAAAATATATACAATTATTTAATAAGAATTATATATTAGAAAAAAATAAAAATAAAAAGATTTTTTTAATTTAATTATATATATATATATTTCAATTATTATTTAAAAATTTTTAATACAAAAAATTAAAATCAGTTTATTTTCATTAAAAGATTTATAATATCCAAACAACTAATTATATTTATAAATAATAATAATTATCTATGAAATATATTTTATTTGCAAAAATAAATTTCATTATTCTATAAATATACTGTATATAGTTTATTATTATATATATGTATTTTAAAAAATGATATCGTAAAGATTTGTTTATAAACTAAATTAAGATTTAAGGATATTTATTTTATTTGTTAAAACATGTTTAAATTTTTGCATTTAAAAAATTTTTTTTTACATTTATATATCATGTAATGAAAATTTCAACAGTTTTTGCAATGCACTGTGTGCATATAAAATCATATAACAGAATATACAAAGAAAATGATATCAATCTAAGGAAATAACGAATCCAATAATTTATATTTTGTTAAATGAAATCGGTTTTGCTTTGATATCATTAGGTTTTATTTGCAAGTACGTGTTTTTTTTTTGAACGTATGTACAATTATATAGTATTAATTAATTAATATAGTAGTAATCAATTGATTTATGTTTTTTTAACGATTTTTTAAAATCTCAAATCAAATGAAAATTCTCATTTCCTATTTCTTGTTAAAAACAAATAATCATTTTACCGTATATACCGTAAATCGATTTTCACAATTATAGACTGTATATAAGATGTCATATACAGTATACTCGAGACAAATAAACGTTTAGATGATAAAAATTCAACAGTCTATCTTCTAATGTACATCATTGATTTTAAATACGGTATACGTATGTCAACATGTTAAAGATATTTTATATGGTTGAATAACAAATAAATAATGTTCAGAGTCAGAGCAACAGCGTGATGATCGAAAAGATACAGCATTTCAAAGAGTAAAAATGGAAATAGCACGAAGAATCATTTGACGCTTTCACAATACATCCACCGAGTTATATTTTTTTATTAAAGGAAACAATCATTATCTGTTTGATGGCAAACGACAAATCAAAAGGATTAGATGATTGAATTTAACGATATAGAGCCATAGAACAAATTTTTTTAATTAGATCAATTCGTTATCCTGAATATCTACGGTATGGATCAAGTAATAATCTTAAACGTATTTAGTATATGGTTCAAGTGATTAAAATTTAAATACAGCATGTCGCATAGTTCAAGTCATCATCATCTAGCACCTATCGTATGCTTATCCCCAGGTTTTTTTTTTTTTTTAATCATGAATTTTAAAATAAGCGAGATCCCATCTTTTTTTTTTTGGACACATTAGAGATTTGTACGATAGCAAATGATTTTGAGAGAAAAAAAAAGTATGCATTATTTTTTTTTTTTTTTAAAAGAGAAGTCCTTGTTAAAAAAAATGAATTCGGTCAAGGTTCGAATTGTTTGCTTCATTGTATGTTTGTTGCATAAACAATTAAACACGGACATTCCAGATGTTGGGTAATGATAGCGACCCTTATCCGACAAATCTCTTGGCATTTGAGCTACTCGTGGTAAAAATTTCGTCATAGTACATGTCAAGGAACACAACGGTTCGTCATGGGAATCTTCATTAAGGGGGTGGGGGACCTCTAAAATTAAAGATAAAGGGTTCGGTGGCGCAAGTAGGAATCGTGATTTTCAAAAGGGACATTTGAAGATCAAATGTTCACTAGCTTAAACTATGGGGACAAGAAAGACATGCCGCGTTTCCGCAGAAGAGATGTGGACGCGTCTGGATGCCTTGATTGAAGATATTTCCGTTAAAAAAGATCTTAATTAACTCCAGTGCAGAAGCGGCTAATGGTGTTGCTATAGCTATTTTAGATTGCTTTTTTTTTGTTACACTTCTCTTGATCAACATCGCTCACCTCCACTTATCAATTAATTATATGTTGTGACAGGGAAACGTGTTCTTTCATTGGAGATTCATCACGTGGCAAATATTACAATATGGAAATATTGCGATCTGAACAAAAAAGCATGGTAAAATTCACCGGTATGTTTATTTACAACGCACGTTGTTTTTGATTGATTTGTCACTGTTGTCTGGACACCCATTTCGTCACAAAATGGTTTGGTGTGTGTCATATTGCAAAACGAAGGACTCTTTGAATTCGTTTTTCCACTTGATTATTAAAATATGAAACGAGGAAGGAAACATTTCGGTTGGTTGGTTTGCGATTTTTTTAATTGTGATGCATGCAAGAAGACTTCACATGATGACCTTGGAGAAATTGGTATGGAAAAACAATGAAACATGCACGATCAATATCGTTTATGGCCAAGCGTATGTCATATTTGATTAATTTTGCAATTCCATTAATGAACTCTAATAGGATGCAGCGATGGCGGCTAACGGATTTGTTTCATCTTAAAAAGATGTCTGAAATTGACCGACTATTGAAGAGATGGTCATGCACATTTGGTAGTCGATCGACAATTGGTGTTTCAATTGGTGCATCGCACTTTTGGTGTTGTGCGTTCGGCCTTCCACGGTCAAGATGCACAACAGATGGTGAAATAGCGATAACGCCTGAAATTAGAATATGGTGTCGGATGTGGATGTATGAGCTACCAGCCACAATGTGTCTGTCTGGTAACCGTTCACTCATTAATTGTCATTATACTGTAATTACGAAACCCTCTACGTTTCATCTAATGCTCGTAATTCCGGGGCAACAAGGATCGTTGCTTGAAGAGAGTTCACCCGCATGCAAAATTGTTACTTACGATCACCCGCTTCTTTTACCGTAAACATAGCTTAATTAAATAAAATCCCAAAAAATTTTTGTCGACGGTTGAATCTTTGTTATTTCCGATTTTGGATTCTATTTTTAGCGATCTTAACTATTTTCCACTATAAGTATCGTGGTGTACTCGGTACTATTCTAAGAAATTTTCTTTAAATCCTGTCCACAAATGTAAATAGACCAACATTATCAATCGAAGAATTTGGTTTGTTCCTTTGTCGTTTTTGCGGAGGAACAATGAATGAGCGGCGGAGGTGTCATACTGATCTTCTCGTATTATTCGTGCAAATTATTATTTTCTCTTTTAAAGATCATGTCCCGATACAGTATGCAATCGATTTAAAACGATCATTTCACATAGTTTAGATTCTTGATGATGATGATTAGATTTTAGAAAATACAATGACGATGGATCATCCAAAATGTCACGTCAATAACGAATGAACAATGGTTCGCCCTTTTCGGTTCAGTTCGACGTTGCCCATTGGTTCCAGAATTATTAATTGGGTTGTCCATCAGAAAAACGTGATTCATCTTTCGGACTTTTTTGTGCCAAATTACGTAATATCTAAGTCAAGTGTTTTTCATGAATCTAATGAGAAATTTCCATCTCTTGTGAATCATTCAAGTTGCCACGATAAGGAGGGGGAAATCAGGAACTTAACAGGAATTGCTTTATTTGCTTTCATAAGTGAGGAAAAACCTTTTTTTAGTATGCATACAGAATATTTCACCGTTGCAACTCAATTGCTTCAATGCTGTGTGACGGCATCGTTAATTAATTTAACTCCTATAGTCCTGTAATGCCAACTAATTACGATACACGCGATAACAACTCTGATGACCACATGAACTTTCGTTCTCTCCAGAGAACGAGGTGAGGAGGGTGCAAACGAAAAGATGATTATTTAAAGCGACCCGATGATTGGTCGAAAATCTTCAACGGTAATAATGCCTTTCCAATATCAATGCATGACATGTTCCGCCAAGAATTCCCAACAACAATACAAGATATAGATGTTGATGTAGTGGTAAATTGTTGATAACGTGGTGTATGCATGTATTCGATTTCTTTGCATATCTAACAGATTGAGGGAAATGATGGATTCGAGTGAAATCATCACCTTCCGTTAACTAATAGCATACCTATCTGTACATCTGATGGTAGTCACATAGTGTTTGCGTGTACGAAACACAAACGCATGGGCATAGAAAATTTATTATGTGATGTGTACTCGCATGCAACTTTTCGCAAGGTGCCGGTCGATCAACTTATCATTTATTCTACCATTCAAAAAATAACTCTATCGAAATGTTACTACTATTGCGCCCCCATCATGGTCCAAAACATTGAGGAGAGAGCGCGCGGTCAACAAAAAAAAAACATCGGTTCCGTGCACTTTGGCATGGGGATGTGGATGGCCTCCCGTCAAGTCCCGACGTCTGTGATGGTGATGTGTGAAGAAGGTTTGATGTTGAACTTTGGTGCTACGCTGTAGCGGGAGACCCTTAAAAGTGATAAAAACAATGACCCTTTGTGAAAATACGCAAATCTCCTTTGGTAAGAAAAGGTTTTACGGGATCCGGCAAGATACGGACGATCACATCATCTGATTTTCGGTACAACTTCTCTTTTCATGAAAAAATTTCGCAGGATAAGAGACTTTGAGGTGACACAAAAATGATTTTCACCGAATGTTTTTTTTTTTTGACACCATCTTTCCTTTTGGTAAGTAATTTTGTCAAGTTGCATTTGAGAAATTGCTTGTGTATCAGATTGCTTCGGATCACAACGCCACTGTGCCGCGATGCCGGCCTTTTGAATGGTCACGTGGTGTTTCTGCCGGTCAACCTTAAAAAACTAAACGTGCCATACACAGTACATCGTCATACTACATGAACGATAAACAGATGACAATGTGATAACGAAACAGTCGAAATCTCGTAGAACAACACGTACTGTATATGCAGACGAGTTAATGGTGGGGTGGGGTGGTGGTAACGTAGTTTCTACGCCGCGTGCTAGATTATAGGAATCCTAATCACAAAACGCAAATTGGGTCAGCAAACAAACAAAAACTTGAAACGTGAATTTTTTTAAAAGAGACCGAGCGCTGGTAGAAACCAACAACAAACCATTTTCGAGGGGGGTTTTTTTTTTTTGTTTTTTTTTTAGCGCTGAATATGCGTATACCAAAAGAAGAATGGTTTGACTGGATGACCGAAAAAAGCAACAACTAACATGTACATGGTTTTAAGAAAAAAATGTTTATGTTTTTTTTTGATCATTATTGTCCGAAGCGTGGATTACACGTGCTGAGGGGACAATGCGGCGATTTCTATAAAGTCGCGTTACGCTCTTTCTGCGCAAGAAGAACGGTTTCCCAGTCGCCGGCGACCCCTCTCTCCCTCCTAAAACATTTGAAGCTCCCAGAATACAATTAATTGGTCGTCGTCGTTCATCTACACCTCAAAGATTATCTCGACGGCAATCGAATCAGCAAGCACACAATTTCTGATAATTTCTCGCTGCACGATTTAATTAACTATAACATGGAATAGCTAATTTACAAACCTTTCTTATTTCCTAGCTGACACGGCCTTAGTGCATCTCGATATGGAAAGCAACGGAAGGTCAACTGACCAAAATCAACTGTTATCAATACTGTGAATAAAAAATTTATTTATTTATTTATTGTTATTAATTATTATTGTTACCAATGATTATTTTAAATTTTTTTTCTTTTTTTTTTGATTTGTATATGCTCACACGCACGTAGCGTTTTGAATTTTTCGGATTGCTTACATATATGTGATAAAGTTTACAGGCATATATATTTGTAGATGTATCGACACAAAAGTTTCATGGCGTTTATTTATGTGAATACAATTTTATTATTTTGCAATTAAATCAATTTAATGTCACACAGTATAACGCTTGTATTAATATGTATTAAGGTAGAGTTTCTTTTGTGTACCCCGGACATACAGGTGTACACTAAAAAAATTTCTATCAAGATAACAGAAGATTGACCACTTATTATTACTTGCTGTAATACCTGAAACGAAGCTCGCTGCTTACTATAAAAAACCCGCGAGGAATCATCATGGCTTTCAAAAAATTTTTTTTTCAGAAAACCTTTATTATGTTCGTAGATTGAGGTTTTTTATTTCCAACCTAAATTCTCGTTTATTTGTTCCCCATTCTCTTAAATCTTACCCCCTTGATTTTCTAGTTTTTTTTTTTTTTCTGAGTCAGAAAAAAAAAATTTCTTAAAAATCGAGTAGGATTCCTTTTTTTTTTAATAATTATTATATATTTCACCTTTGGCTAAGGAGTCCATTATTTTTTCCGGCTTCGTTAGCAAAAGGTGATAATAATTAAGGGTCAACAGAGCAAATATTCCGATTCTTATTCCCCTCACAAAGTCCTTAAGCTCTTCCTAGATTTCTTTTTTTTTTTTATCTTAGTATCAAGGGACTTTGTGTACATTGTAATTTACCCCCTCATAGATTGTAAAAAAAAAAATTTACATTAATATTCAATAATGTCGTCAGAGAAAAAGCAATACGAGACGGAAGAGATCGTGGAGGAGACTTATACAACTCAAGAGGAAGTCGGTGAGAAGCATGAAAAGCCCGTTGAACTGATAGAGCACGCACATGTCGAAGTTACTGAAGATATCCCTCCGGAGTTGGAAGCTTTACTTCACACCGATCCCTCTTCGGGTTTGACTACCGAAGAAGCGAATAAACGCTTGACTGAATTTGGTCGTAATGAACTAGCCGAGGTCAAAACGAATCCCATCTTGAAGTTTCTGTCTTACTTCACAGGTGCCATTGCGTACCTGATCGAATTGTCTTGCGTCTTCGCCGGTATTTTGCAGCATTGGGTATCTATCGGAGTTTCACATCGATCCATGCATCAATTCCTTTCTGCTAACATTCATATTTCCTTTTCACCCTTAGCTTGACTTTGCTGTCATCCTGACTTTACTCTTTGTCAACGCCTTGATTGGTTTTATAGAAGAAGCTCGAGCCGAGAATGCTTTGGATGCTCTGAAAAATACTCTTGCGCTGAAAGCAAAGGTATGGCGTGACGGTCAATTCATTGAATTGGATGTTGCCGAACTCGTTCCTGGTGATGTGATTGGTCTTCGTCTTGGTGACATCATTCCAGCCGACGCCCGTCTTCTTGGTATCTCGGTCACTGGCGGTGAAACTGAAGGTACTCTATCAATTGATCAGTCCGCTTTGACCGGTGAATCTCTTCCGGTTGAGAAGAAGAAGGGTGATACTGTTTACTCCTCATCCATCGTCAAGCAGGGTCAAATGTTGGCTGTCGTCACAAAGACTGGTAGTAACACTTTCATCGGACGTGCTGCCAATCTGATTTCGATCACCGTTGAGCAGGGTCACTTCCAGAAGATCGTCAATGCCATTGGAAACTTTTTGATTTTGATCACCGTTGTGTTGGTCGGCATCATCTTCATCTACCAAATGGTTAACCACGGAACATTCCTCGAGGTACTTGGTCACGTGTTGGTCTTGACAATTGCCGCTATCCCAGTAGGTCTTCCGACCGTCTTATCGGTGACCATGGCCGTTGGTGCTAAGCAACTCGCCGCAAAAAAAGTTATTGTCAAGCGTCTCACGGCTGTCGAGGAAATGGCATCGGTTTCTATACTTTGCTCGGACAAGACTGGTACATTGACCCTGAATGAATTGACCTTCGACGAACCCTACCTAGCTGGTAGTTACACGAAAGACGAAATCCTTCTTTACTCTTATCTCTCGGCTGAGCCTGGTGCGAACGATCCCATTGAATCGGCCATCCGTAACGCCGCCGAAACTGATCTCGAGATTCTCAAGACTCGTCCAAATAAATTTGAAATTCCCGGATACAAGGTCACCGCCTTTGTTCCCTTCAATCCTACCACCAAGATGACCAACGCCACCGTCGCCAACCTCGAGACCAATGAAGTTTTCAAGGTAGCAAAAGGTGCACCTCAGGTTATCATTAAACTTGTTGGTGGTGATGACAACGCTGTTCGAGCTGTCAACGAATTGGCCGCGCGTGGTCTTCGCGCCCTTGGTGTTGCTCGTACTGTTCCCGGTAATCTTGAAAAATATGAATTGATTGGTATGATCTCCCTCCTCGATCCTCCTCGACCCGATTCTGCTGAAACCATTCGACGCTGCAATTCCTATGGTGTTGAGGTGAAGATGGTTACCGGTGATCAGTTGATCATCGCAAAAGAAGTGGCCCATAGACTTGGAATGAGTCGTGTGATTCTTGACGCCAATCATCTGGTTGATCCCAACAAGTCCGAGGAGGAGGTAACACAACACTGTGAACGTGCTGACGGTTTCGCCCAGGTCATTCCCGAACACAAATATCGCGTGGTTGAATTGTTACAAAAACGTGGTCTGCTGGTTGGTATGACCGGTGATGGTGTGAACGATGCCCCAGCCTTGAAGAAGGCCAATGTTGGTATTGCCGTCCACGGGTGTACCGATGCCGCGAGATCTGCAGCTGATATCGTGTTGTTGGCCCCCGGTCTTTCCACCATTGTTGACGGTATTACCACCTCCCGCGCCATTTTCCAACGTATGAGATCCTACGCCCTTTACCGTATCACCTCCACCGTTCACTTCTTGATTTTCTTCTTTTGCATCACCCTGATTGAGAACTGGCAGATGGACGCAATTCTTTTGATTTTGATTACCTTGTTGAACGACGCAGCCACCCTTGTCATTGCCGTGGATAATGCCAAAATTTCACATCGTCCTGATAAATGGCGCCTGGGTCAACTGATCACATTGTCACTTGTTCTTGGATGTCTCTTGACTGCCGCTTCGTTTGCCCATTTCTACATTGCCAAAGATGTGTTTAATATTCCGAAAACTGACGGCCGCTTGGGAACCATCATGTATCTTCACATCTCATCCTGTCCTCATTTCGTCATCTTCTCCACCCGTCTGTCTGGTTACTTCTGGGAGAATCTCCCGTCACCGACTTTCTTTGTCGCTGTCATGGGTACACAGGTTTTCACTATGTTCATCTGTATATACGGTGTTCTTTCACCTGCCGTCGGTTGGGGTTGGGGCGTTGGCGTCATTGGGGTTTCATTAGGATATTTCTTCGTATTAGACTTTGTCAAAGTTAATCTATTCAAATATTGGTCATTCGAGATGACTGCTAAAGTATGGCCTTCACCATCCCGTAAGCGCAAGCTAAGAAACCGCAAAGCAGATGCTCATCAAAGAAAGAGAGTATTAGCAAACTTTGCAAAGGTTCGAAAAGTGGTGCTCATGTCTAAAGTGATTCTTGCTTTCCGACATGCAACAAGATCAGATAAGAAAGCGCTTACCTCGTAAAGAATATCACCATTAAAACTTTGTATTATATAATCAACGTGGTATTTAAAATTTTTGGTTTGCCATGTCATTCATTCATCCATCTACCTTTTACTATCTGTTTCCAAAAAAAAAAAATAATAATAAAAAATAACCGAAAATTTTAATAAAAAGGGAAAAGGAATTTCTTTTTCTGTAATCATTATTCCTCTAATGTAGAGAAAAAATCGTTTTCACATTCCTTTCTATTTTATTCACATTTCTTTCAAACATAATATATTCTAGCGAAAAAAAATTATTTAATCACCAACGAGCAATTAAAATTTTATCACACATGGGATTTGTTTGTATATTGTTGAGGGGAGGATCCTAGAGGAGTACGAGTTTCTTCATTTTGGGATGATCTCATTTCATCATACACTTTTTTTTTTATTTATATTGACAAAAAAATTAGGAACAATTTTTGATTTATAATATTTGTGGGGTTGATGTCTGGTAGTTTTTAGATTTTTGAAATTCCGATGCATTGATGGACGAGACGCAGAGAAAAGAAAACTACCCAAGATTTTTTTTTTTTTTCCTGTGAATAAATTAAAAAAAAAAATATATGTCAAAAAAGGTTGTGGAGAAATTGATATATTCTTTGATTTCCAAGTGGGACGTTGACCAAATCGAGATTGCTCGGAGAAAGGAAACATTGATAGGAGCATCAATGGTCTTCTACCATCCGAATTACCGCCGTAAACTCGTCCAACCAACCAACCAATCATCGAACGATGAAATTTCAATTAAGGCGTGAGGCTAAGCCTATTTTGATTTGATTCTGTATCATCACATCATACACTTGAATTTCAACAAGAATCGTACCAAGCACAATAATATTTGTTTATTTAATCTAGCCACATAAATCACAACGAAATAACGATATTCCGGTTTCTTCTATTTTTGCAACTCAATTTGGCTGTGAAACCTCAGAACGTGTCCGCCTCGTGACATTGTCACCTTTTTTACAATCCGAGTATCCCAAACACTCTGACTTTGATTAAAAACACAAGTCTCAAACAGTTCCTAGCGAAAGAACATTGATTCTCGTGATTGCGGTTTAATTTTCAATTGGTGCAAAATATGTGATTTTTTTTTTTTTTTAGAATTCTTAGTAAAAGTAAAAAAGTAAAATCATCTTAAATGAAAAAAATATCACCGTATCGAATTTTGCTGATTGATGCGAATGCAAAAAACATACTGTATAATCTATAATTTTACATTATTTTAAATACTAATACACTCGCTATAGACACGTGTGTTTTTTTTTTTTTGAATATGGATTTCAAATAAACATTATTGCTTGTCCTAACTGAGATGATCGAATAAACCTATATTATTTACAGTATGCGCGACTAGAAGTCTCGAGAAAAATTTAAAATCTAAAATGTGTCCAAGAAAATCACAACCATTTATTTAAACTTTGCTTATTTTTATGTACAGTAATCGGTGCGTGCAAGGTTCAAGAGTTAAATTAAAATCTTGGATTTTTTTTTTTTTTAAAGATGAATGGGCATTCAATGTCATGCATGGTTTTTATTGAAATATTATATTCGAGCCATACACTTGCAATCTTATACATGCTAATATTACTATTAACTGTAAGTTTAATCATAACCAATCTACCTTTATTCAGATACCAACTTACACTTGTGGATGGGTTCATATTTAGGTTTAATAAAGGATGTTTTTAATTAACATATATTAATCTTTTGTAAATCATCTTTTTACATTACTTTTTCAACTCATGCAGCTGTGGATAGGATTCAACATGTATATATACTTCTTAATAAGTGCTTTGAAAACTGTAGTTCTTGGTTGGCACAAGTTATCAAATATAGGGGCATTTAATATCAAGTGAAGCATAACACCTTGAATTTTTTAATAAACACTTCAAGAAAATTTGATTGACTTAACTATCAAATCTAGAAGTATAAATGCCAAGTAAGATATAACTTCTACATATTGATAATATGAATTATTTATTTATATTACATGTTAGTATTCACATCAACAATTCTTTTTAAGATTTCTTATTTTATATTAATATGTTATATTCTATTTTTAATTATAAATATTTTTAAGAAGAAGTAAAAGAGAAAACTGGAAGTAGTATCTATTGTAACAAATAAAACTCTATAGAGACAATCTTCTTGACAAAAAAAGATATCAAGTATCACAAAAAAGTAATTAACAAATTATCTCACTTGAAAACCAGATATTTTATTATCTTTTATTTTTTTTTCTAATGATTATTATACAGTTACGGCAAAAAATAATGACAGATAATTTTTTATTAATTATATGGCTTTTTAAATATTAATTTAAAAAATTTTTTTTAAAAAAAATAGCTTAAATGTAATACAATAAAAAAAATTTTTTTTTGTATTTTATACAATTTTCTTCCGCATCTATACAATCTTAAATACAGGTAGACATACTTCGAATCATGAAAAAAATAATTGCTTCCAGAATATTCTTTCATTCTTCTTTTACCAATGTAATAAAAATCTTTTAAAACATATTTTTTTTTTAACTATGATTTTTTTCACTCTTTTTTCTATGTTATGCTTTAAATATACTCAAATATTCTTAATAGGATTGAGATCTGAACTGTATGAAGGCCATGGCAGAACATAATTCCAAAGTCTGGCTTGCAAATCACTTTGCATATCCTTGGAGATATGTTTCGAATTGTTATCCTGCTGAAAGATTTATTGATACCCATATAGATCTGTTACATTATTATAAAAATGTTCATTTAATATTTTATGATAAAGATAATGATCTAAGTTTTCTATAAATGTTTTAAAGTTAATTTTTCTACGTTCATTGATTACTGCCCAAACATACAGTTTAAAGGAGTGCTTAACTATTAATTTTAAGAGTTTTTCACCATGAGACTATGCAAGACAAGTATTTCGAAACATCTGTAGTTAAAGATGGGTCCCTAAAGTATTTAGCATATAAAATTTACGTCCCTTTATGTCCACGTTCCCTAGAGGACATAATTCCTAGCTCTTTACTTCAATAGGGACATAATTCCAAAAATGATTTGTATAGATGCTTAAAA